TATTATATTGGTGAGAAATGTCAAACAAAATGGTTGAAAAATTAAAACTAACATACACATTTTAATATGTTCTACAGAAAACTACATTGTGCCGTGGTCTTTATGTGTGGTTTGGAAACTCTACATACGTTTTTTTTATCTCTAATGTTCTGATAAATTTACTTGCTCATTTTTTCTCATGGAAATTATTATATCATTGTTGTAATTATAGTTTATGTGAAATTCATTCTGAACCGATATGAAAAATTTGTCAGAAAGCTGTGTCCCATTACAACATTATTTATGACAGTAATATAGACGATTACTTTCTTAACTTCCTCACTCTGCAACCAGTTATGTGCTGGATCAGAGATGAAGCCCCCAATTTAAAGACTGAGAATGTGATAATGTGCTGCCTGGTCAGGACTATCACACACCTCAGGGAGGCAGTGATACATAGATGGATAAGGAGCAGTGGTGGAATGGTGATTAACACTGGAAAACAGAAGAAACTCAATGGAATCCTTCCTCCAGTGCCACCTTTTTTGCAGTGGGCCTCATATGGTCATCAGGGTTTGAATCTGAGACACTACATACATATTGACTGGTATATATATCTGACTAGTAGATACTATATGAAGAAATTAACTGGTGCCCATTCTACTTACAACATAAAACATGTACCATGCCTTTGGCAGAATTATCTTATCACACGCAGTGTTCTTGCTGGCAAGGCAAACTAACAAACATTTATTATGAGCAGCAGGGGAAAAAATACTATCAAGAGAGGATTCTTAAGGTGCCTCTCCCTCAAATTTTACACATAACTTCCATTTTTGTATAACTGAAAAATAAACTTCCCACTATTCCCAAGGATATAGTCCAAAAACAAGTGCCCCATGGAAGTCTGGTATGCAGTTCCAGGCTGGGCATGAAACATGATCTGAGGCCATTCCTGTTGTTTTAAAGGCAGATGTGAATGACAAACACCTAAGCTTACTTAGAAGAGCCTACAGTTCTTATCCTGGAACGGCTGAGAATTAAATACAATTTATTTATGTCTAATATCATGGCCTTTAAAGTAAGTGCCAGGGTGGTGCCTCACAACTCAGAAAAGCACCGGGGAGTTTCTTGGACCATCCTGGTTATCACGCAGCCCTGACTGCTCCTAGGAAGAAATGTGTTTAAAACCTGCCTAAGATTAGAAACTCCTACAATGTTTAGTAGTTATGAAGAAAGAAAAGTGGACATCTGGCTCAGATCATGTTAAACCTACAATTTCACTTTAGGTGGACACATCCACATTATAGTATATACAAGGAGGTCAAAAACGATTTTAAATAATGTTAATTATGAATTAATATACATCTCAATTAATGGCCAGTAACTTCAGAGCCTTTTTGTATTCACAATACCCGAACAACCTCAATACACTTATACTAACTCAGAATATTCCATTCGTACTCATGATTTTCATTCTTCTATGTTCTTTGGTTACTGTTTGCAGATGACTGACTTCAGATGTTTCCATAGGAAGAACTGAACTGGCATGAGGTCTAGTGACTTATGAGGCTATTCAATGGGCCTTGGCCAGAAAAAAAAAATTCAGAATTCTACAGGGCTAGTTTATATAAATCTCCATGGGGCATATCTTTTGGGCCACCCATATAATAAAAATTCTTTAACATTTCTTCCCATAGCAATTATTAATCTGTAAGGTGCTTAATAAAGCCAAACTTTACATAACTTACATACTCCAATTACTTAAAAAGCGAACTGAAACACTGATTGAAACCACATGAGTTTTTTCCTTCTTCTTCTTCTCCTTTTTTTTTTGATTAGCGACTCTAAAATCATTATGCTTAAGAATAAGAAAGATTAGTTTAAAACTCTGCAGTACAAGAAAATACATTCAGGTCTGAAATATAATTTGCCTCTACGAAAGTCCAGTTATAAATTCTTTGTGACAAGGAAAAGAACGAATAATATTTTCCTATTAGGAAACAGGTTTGCATTAACATAATTTGACTTATGTTATGAGAAAATGCAGCCCATTGAACAGTTTCTTAAATATGCACAAAATATGAACTACTGTTCTGTGTCAAATATATAATATAATATGAATATTTTATTTTAATATCGGCGGATTATATGTTCGGACAATATCCAAAAGCTGGACATCTTCAAAAACAAACCGTTGTGAATATATTAACATATACAATCTTTAAAGAAATTCAAAGTAGCATTATGTCTCACCATGGCCATCTCATGAATTTTTGGGAGGGGGAGGCAGCCAGAAAAATTGTTTATAAACTTCAGTTTAAGCAACTCAAGACGATGCTTTTTCATTATTATTAGCCTACAGCATTCAGGATAGAAGAATAAAATAAACAATTAAAAAAATATTTGGTATTATTATTTGGTACATTTCACTATTCTTTCAATTTCGATTTGTTTCCAAAAATCCAGGGAGAAGGACGAAGATGCATTGCATGCACATATTTCACACCTTATAAGAAAAGTCACTATGAGTAAAGACTGCCATTAAATAGAGAAACTTGAGAGAATAAATTTTGAAAATTAGAAAAGTACAATTTTGTGCATTGTAACACCGTGTAGTTTGGAGACAATCGTGAAGTTTTGGAGGAACATACTGCCTCCATCTTGAAGGTCAAAGCGTAAGCCATGTTAGACACCCGATGAAGTGTCTTGCTTGGCTTACTCTATGACCCTGAATATGGACGCAATATGTTCCTCCAAACTTAATGCTGTTTCAACCCAGGAGACAATACCTCTAATCCAAAATTTAAAAATAGTCCATGAAGTCTAAAATCATTAATCTATGAACTATCTGGCGAGTTCACTGGTACATATATATCATATTGTGGCATACTGGCTCTATGCAGGAACTGCTGAGCCACAGAGGCCTTGGGGCACGTGTGCAACATGAGAGTTGTGGATTGTATCAGTGCGTTGCTAGGCGACAACTCTGTGAACACTTGGATTGTGCAACAGGAAGTGTGAGTGACGTCAAATACCTCACTCATCCTGTAACAATGCAATGCTTGGTAAACATGCCTCCCCGCTGGGCTGTGACATCACGCAACAGGGGAGTCCATGCAGAGACTACTGGTAGGCAATTGGTAAACACAACGTCAGGGAACAGTGGTAGCTATCATGTAACTGTTTTCTGTGTTGTCAGTGCAGAAGCTACATAATGAGGAGTATTTGTCAGTGTTGAACCAGAGAGAGCCAGTTACTAGTAAGAGAGTTACCAGAGAGAGAGAGTGTTAAGAGCAGTATTCAGTATGAGTTGAAGTCTAGCAGCTACGAGTTGAGTTTTATCGAGTGAATGGAAGTGACTACAGCAGAAGAAGTAATTGGGACAATGAAACTGTGAACTGTAAGTGTAAGAGTGAGTGTACAATAAATCTGCTAAGATTCAAAATGGTGTGAAGTTCTTTGTCGCTTGACAAACACCTAACATGTGACAATATACCAAAGTACAGATCTTACACAAAAATAAACAGCCACCGGAACATGAGTGATATGAAGACTACTGTCTTCTGGGATCTGACACCATATATACTGGTAGATATTTAACTATGCTTTGGAGGAATCTGCTACCTCCATCTTCTACTTTCCTACCGTGAACACACAGGCAGCAGATTCATTTTTTGGGGGGATTTACTTTATGATGCTGTCACTGTCTATATTATACTGCATCGAATGGATAAACTGGAAAGGATTTAGAAGGGAGCAGTTGTGGCCTAACAGAGGTGCTTCAAACCAAGTCCCTCCTGAATCATCATCATCAGTAGTCAGACAACAGGTCCACAGTCTCTTCCAAAACAATTCCTCCACTTAATGCGATCTAGAGCTTTCTCCTTCAAATAACAGTATCCTCTTCTGTCTCCAAGGTCATCCAGCATCTTCTTACGTCTTCTTGTCACTTCTATCCGCCCCTCTATCTTTCCTTCAATAACTTCTTTTACAAGGCAGTTTCTGCGTAAAAACATGACCAATCCAATTAGCCTTCCGTTTTCTTATTTCGTGTAGGATATTCCTCTGCTCACTGACTCTAATTAACACTTCTTCATTTCTCACATAATCGGCCCAACTGATCTTCTCCATCCTTCTCCAACACCACATTTCAAAACTTTCCAGATGTTTCTGATCTACTGCCCTAAGTGTCCAGGTTTCAGCCCCATGCTCCTGAATACGGGTCTATAATATTATTGTTACATCAACCAGATTAATTTACCAAACTATATGATGTCACAACCCAGAAGACAGTGTGAGAACATGAAACATTTCATGAAATTGAAAGTACTTCAAACTGTACAGGGCAAAGAAGACAGAACTTTATACTTCAGTACACAAAATCTTCAACCAGGAAACAATGTAACATTAATTCTAAAAGATAAAACAATTCCATCCAATGTGACTGGTGAAGTTTTTCTTATTTCAATTCTTAATGCCCTCACATGTTTCTGTCCTTAGAGACCACCATCAGAGGGATATTGATACAGTTTGGAAATCACTATTACAATGGGTGTTCTGAATGTTAAAATATACATACATACATACACACATACAATGTTTACAATTCACAAACAGATACAAAATCCAAAGTTTTCACAACTACAGCAGCTCTTTTGATATATTAACACTTTTTAAAACTTTTGTTATTTAAGTTAGAATTTATAAACAAAATAGTGTCGCATCATCTCTCTTATCACCTCTCCTGACAGGGGCCGAACTTGTGCCGCCTGTCTTTCTTGAGAAGAAGGTTCTTTGATGTCATCCTGTGGTTGTCTGTGGCGAGCTCTTGTTTTTACACAGTACGCCACGAACAACCACAGGACACCAAAGAACCTTCTTCTCAAGAAAGACAGGTGGCACAAGTTCGGCTCCCATCAAGAGAGGTGATAAGAGATAGGGTGCGAAACTATTTTGTTTATAAATTCTAACTTAAACAACAAAGATTTTAAAAAATGTTAATATATCAAGAGAGCCGCTGTAGTTGTGAAAACTTTGGATTTTGTATCTGTTTGTGTATTGTAAACATTGTATGTATATATATTTTCACATTCAGAACATCCATTGTAATAGTGATTTCCAAACTGTATGGATGTCCCTCTGATGGTGGTCTCTAAGGACTGACACATGTGAGGGCATGAAGAATTGAAATAAGAAAAACTTCACCAGTCACACTGGATGGAATTATTTTATCTTTTACAATATTGTTAGTATGACGGACCAGAATGAACAAATCAAAATAATATTAATTATTTACACTTTCATGATGTAGCTTACATCTGTAATGAACAAGGCCTTCAGGATATTTATAGTGCCCATAAAAATAATCTTTACATAAGTCTAAATTCTATGTCACGATCAGTTCCTCAACTTGACATTGCTGATTCTTTTGGATGTATCCTTTACATTATTCTGGCACATTTCAAAGTGATCTAGGAACTTAAGGTGGAGTCTTGGAGGAAACACCTGCCCACATCCTGGACAGACTACGTCCTCCCGTGTCTGGGTAGCAACTCCTTCCTCAAAGTAATTTGCCTTCCATGGGACTGAGGCTTTTCGAACATTTGTTGCCGTAACATTATTCTCAGACTTTGTCAAATTTCCAGATGATAACATCTTGAATGATTTCTCTTCGAATATACCTTTTGTGGTGAAGTTGTTGTAGGTCATTGGTGGACCTACCACTGAAGACAGACCAGAATCAAGTGACCATAGGGAAGATGCAGGCTTTGCATCATATTCACCATTAAAACTCAGTTTCTCAGATATTGGTAGAGATGATGACTTGACAACCGGTCTCTGTGAGAAGGACGTGACTGATGCCAAGCCACCACTGCTGAAGCCAATGGTCACACCACTGGCTGAAGAATCCACAGTTTTGTCATCTGCTGTAAGATTGCTGTCGCTACTGTTTGGGGAGATGTGATGTACAGAGTACTTGTACTCATGTTCTGAGCTGTCCTCAGGAACTATGTTCAGCTCCAATGCCTTCTCTGCTCTTCCCACTGCTTCAGAATTGGCACTTCTTGCTTTAACATTATGTGGCAAGTTATTGTTCCCATCTGACTGTGCCTTGTGTTGCGTTCCTTCCTCACCTTCTTCATAAGTTGAAAGGGGAGGAGGTGATGAAGATGAAGATCTGGACCTTGGTAACTCACTGTCAGATAATGCAGTTTTATCTAGGTCTTCAGCAACTGCTTCGTCACCATCGGTCACAAGGTCATCACCGAAATACACAGTTGTTCCTTTGGACAATACATGGCCCTGCAACAAAAGGGAAAGAAACTATCCTTCAGACAATGGATGGCAAATCGTTCTGCCAACTGGCAACTGAGGCCACATGTACAAGGGAGAGTCGGTAAATACATCACAAATGTATGCAAAACGTGATATTTTAACCTGGGAAAAACATTTATTTCTCAACATATCCTCTACCAACTTTGATATACTTGTCCCATTGCTTTACCATGGTGTCAAAACCAACAACATAGAAATCTTTTGACTGTTGTCTCAGCCACTTCAGCACCTGACTGGGCATCACGTATGATTTTTGTTTGATTTGATTTTGATCCAGTTATGAACTGCTTTATGCGACAAACACTTCCCACCATAAACAGGAAACATTTCTTTATGGCTATCCCTTGCATTCAGTACTTTTGCCCACAAAAAATGCACAACAGAATATCGCTTTTCAGTAGTATACCCCCAAGCATGGTCACAATTTTGAGTACTGAAACCAGCCTCTGAACATGTGCATGTGCATCTGCTACCTAGATTTGTCAAAGAAGCTGGACTGTGCTGCTACCTAGTGATACACATAGAAAACCTATTACATCCATTACATCTGCTTTACTTCCATTTGTGATCTAGTATTTACTGAATCTCCCTCATACAATAAAAGTTACCAAAGGTTACCAAATAGGTTGGATTGTGGAGAGGCTCTAAGACTTATATTAGGGAGATGCTTGCTTTAAATCTCACTTGGGGCACAACTTATTCTGATGGGCATGTTAATCTAGCAGTAATCTTCCAGGTTTCTTATTAGAGGGGTTCTCAACTTGAATGTCAGCCAGGGCATCACGTATCTTGACAGAGTCCTTAGGGCTTTCATCAGTTCCTCCAGACAAATGCTGGGATAGTACCTTAATTAGGCAATCATCTCTTCTTTGCATATCCTATCAAATTCATTACTGAACAGTCATCCTACACTTCACACTATACAGTCTGAGTTACTGACATGGTGTCTGCAATCCTCAATGCTCCAGTACAGTCTGGTGAGACTGACGAGATACCAACTGATAAAAATTTTGTACACTTTCCATCAAACTTTCTGATAGAGACATAAAAGGCACTTATTTCATTTCTGAGAGGACTTCTTACATTTAATTATGTATCTGAGAGTTCAAAATAACCAGCAACACAATATAACATTCCTGTAGTTTCCTCTAGGTAACCATATTTTTTTGTATTCAGGGCAGATATCTGATATAACAGCAAAAAATGTATCTTAGAAAACTGAATAGTAGCCGGGTGAACTACTGAATTATCAAATACGTCCAAATTATAATATAAACAATACGTGTAATCATTGTTACCAGTAGGTATCTCAGATGATTCCAACAATTCTCATTCTTACTCCAGATGATTTAATCAAAAGATTGTTTAACAAGAGCATTTAGAATTATAAACTACTTTGAAAATAAGGTTACTATTGAAAAATTAGTGAATATTTTTTAAAATCTTTTGGCTGACAAGTTCTGTCACAGAACTACCTGCTAGAACACCAAGGCTGCTTGGGGGGTAAAGGCAAATGTACACAAATACCCATAGTACTTTCTTAAATGACCACAGTTATATTTCGTGTGAATGCCTGTTCCTTCCTGCAAAAATGAGTATTTCATATCTGATGACATCTACTGGACACCTACCGGATTAACAACAAGCCAATCTCTTTGGATGTGGCAGTTTTAATGCAAGTATCTCAAGCTCTTTAATTGGTTCATGGTGTGCAAAGGGTGACTAGTAAACATGATTTTGGGAATTTATGCCATGTGGTTTCATACACAGGTAGTAATGTTACAGAGGCATCTTCTGCCTCCAGACTACAAGGTGTCATGTCTGAGAAGACTGTAACCAGTATTGATCGTGGTAACCTCAGATTTTAAATAACTCCACTCCTGAAAGCGTATCATCCATTATTTATTGAAACAGAGGATTTCACACAAAATTAAAAAAAAATTCTTAGCTATATTCTGAATTTTGTACGACCTAAACATGTATTCAAAGACAACCTGACATCTTGAGCAACAAAACTGTAAATATGTTTTACGAGAGAATCTGAGCTAGCTGTATAGATGTACATACAGAAGTGCAAGGAAGATGTACCGAAGTTCTGTAGGTTTTCGGGTTGTCTCTGTGGCAATGTTTGCCAACCACTGCCATGCTGCAATGGCTGGCTTCACACACGTGTGCTACACAACAATGGACACAGTGGGTAGGTTGCTTGTGTGACCGCTCGTCCTTCAACTGCAAAACACAAAATATACTGTGCAAGCTATGGCCTTGCTCAGAGCTGTAATATTTATAAAGAGAACATGACAGTAATATCACATTTACACATGCTAATCTTAACCCATGATGTGGAAAAGCTGGGTAACAGCTGCTCATACTTGGCAACAACCAGGGCTGTAGTTGAGCTAGGGCAGTGTCCCAGCACTTTTTGGAGTACTGTAGCCCACCCTGGTACTTATTTTAAAACAGTGAAGTCAAACAAACATTAATTATAGCTTACTAAATTTCCAACCTCTCTGCCTCAGGTTAAAGAGTCTGTTTCTTTAAATACGTGAATTCTGTGAGCTGTCTGTCATTAAGTAACAACAAGTATGACCTCATGTCATGATTCACACCCATTAGCTTTCAACTCGCTAATGAACCCCAGAACACCCTTGGACTTTTATTTTTAGGACTAAGACTTTGGCAATAAAATGTCTTTTCTGTAACAGTTTTGAATTATCTCTGGTGTTTTATTTACATCTGTCATTCACAGACATTTAGCTATCTTGCAGCAGTTGTTTACTAATGAGGTTGGTCAAACAGTCATGTGTAAAATTAAACTGTCATTCCATGTGCATTGGCAGGACATTTTAAGGTCCACACAGGTGTTATCATATGGTTTCTCAAACTGTGAGTCATGACCCATCAGGAGGTCATGACCTACTCCAAAGAGGGTGCCAGAGTTCTCAAGAATTGTTAAAAATACAAATGTATCTATATGCAGTTTTCACAAGTCAGTAAGTCATTTATACGCGGGTCATTTCATAAATAATACACAGGTTGGCAACACTGCAGATTAGATGATGCAACAACAGTGAGCCTCACATCAGTTACAGTTCAGGGCTTTAGAAAGAAGCATGTTATTTTGTTTCATTTATAATGTACTCTGTTCTTAAATAACGTGAATTAGAAATGGAGCCTGCACGGTTCTTGGGTATTGTGACTGTTGAAGATCAAAGGTCGTACACTGAGATCGAAACTTTACGTGGAAAAAACCTGACAGAAATCCCCAGTGCTTTAAGTGAAGTTTGTGGCGAGTTAACAGTGGACCGTAGTACAGTTTCTTGCTGGGCTAGTCGCTTTCATGGTGGTTGTGTGAGCATAAATGATGATCCAAGGCCAGGAAGGCCGAAAACATCAACAGATGAACGAAGTGAGAAACTTGTGTCAGATGCTCTTGAAGAAGATCGTCGTGCGACATGTGAGGAACTTTCTGAAACCACGGGGATTCCGAATTCTGACAAATGATTTAAAGAAGAGAAAGATTTCTGTGTGATGGGTCCCTCACTGCTTGACTGCTGAACAGAAACAGAAACGCCTCGACATTGCAACCTTGCTGAAACAAAGATTCGACGTTGAAGGTCAAGCATTCTTGTATCGACTTGTCGCTATTGGTGAAACGTGGGTTAGAGACTTTGAACCGGAGCTGAAATCACAGTCCAACGAGTGGAGAGGTCCATCTTCCCCACGACCAAAAAAATTTCAATGATATCAATCAAAGGTCAAACAAATGATGATCTTTGCTTATGATCACCAGGAAACATCATAACAGACAAAGTTCCGTGCGGGAAAAGTGTCACAGCAGTTTATTATCATGACTTTATGCAAAATCTGTGCAGAAAAATGCACAAAAACCGACCTCAGTTGCTTGAGGCTGGGCTGATCATTCTCCATGACAACACTCGCCCACACATCGGGAATGTCGTAACAGAAAAGCTGCGCCAATACGGTTGGGAGGTGTTGCCTCATGCTCCCTACAGCCCGGACATGAGTCCACCAGACTTTGACTTATTCCCAAAGTTGAAACAACCTACGCAAGGCCGTCGTTTTCCCTCTCTGGAGGAGAGTTAGCTGCAGTTAGCCGAGCCATTTGACAGATAAACAAAGATGGTGTCCTGGATGGAACAGTAAAGCTTCCCACACGTTGGGACTCGGTCATTGAGAGGCAGGGGGACTATACTGAAGGACTGTAAAGAGATAGATATATATATATAAATAAGAGGACGTAAACAAAAAATTGTGTGCATTATTTTTGAAATGACCTACGTATAAAGATAGGAAATAGATGTTTTGAAAATGTGGCACAGTTCACATATTTGGGAATGATGATGATAAATCAAAACCTGATTCAGGAGGAAATTAAGAGGAGATTGAACTGGGTAATGCTTGCTACCATTCAGTCCAGAACCTTTTGTTTTCTTGTCCGCTGTCCAAAAACATAAAAATCAGAATATACAAACCTATAATTTTGCCTGTGGTCCTGTATGGGTGTGAAACTTGGTCTCTAATATTAAGGGAGGAACATAGACTGAGGGTGTTGAGGAGAATATTTGGACTGAAGAGAGATGAAGTGATGGGAGGTTGGAGAAAACTGCATAATGAGGAGCTTCATAACTTGTGCTCTTCGCCAAGTATAATTAGAATGATGAAGCCAAGGAGGATGACATGGGCAGGGCATGTAGCACGAATGGGGCGAAGAGGAATGCGGATATAGGATATAGGCGGGAAAGACAGAAGGAAAGAGACCACTAGGAAGACCAAGACGTAGGTGAGNTATATCAAAATGGATCTTAAGAGATATAGGATGGTACAGATTGGATTGGATTGATCTGAGTCAGGATAGGGACCAGTGGAGGGTTCTTGCGAACATGGTAATGAACCTTCGGGTTTTATAAAATGCTGGGAAATTCTTGAGTAGCTGCAGATCTGGCGGCTCCTCAAGAAGGGCTCGGCGCCTTAAGTAAGTAAATATTCTATGCATTTTCAAAATATATAAATTTAGTTACCATTCCCAATGTTTCTCTGTTAACTGTTTCACTGTAAACATCAAATATGTTGTGGATTTTCCATCAAAATACATATTGAAGATTTCTATCTTTTGGGATATGCCATGTAGTTCGGTGAAAGTCAACCAGAGGTACATCACCTCTGTTCTTAGGGTTCAAGAGTTTTGGAGTAAGCCAAGCATGAAACCAGATTCTGCTTCCAGTCTGATGCACACTGGTTTCTTGCTTGGCTTACTCTTTGACACTGAAGGCAAGAGCAGTATGTTCCTCTAAAATAACAGTGACTTCTGCTGGACTACATAGGGTTATGTCCCAGAAAACACAACTCTTCAGAACTGTTCATAACTAAACTACAAGCTGCTCCCCATTAAGCGCTAATTCTGCTAACTTTTTATTTTAATTTATCAGTCAAAATTCTTTGATAAATTTTCTAACAGTGACTGAGAAATAGTTCTGAAATTTTCACGGCAATGACTGTTTGGATTGTGGTCCGCTTGAAGATGGATCCTGACATTTCAAAGGAACATGCTACTTCTGAATTCAGGGTCGAAGTGCCCATGTGCCACACAAAAGGGTCATTCTACCCATCATTCTCGCTGGCCTGTATTGCATTCCACTCCCTTCCCTTTGTCCATATGATTGAGCCAGTTCCTCATCCTAACAACCTCTATATATCCCTGTCCCTCTTGAGCAGCTACTCAATGAACTCCTGGCATTTTATGAAACCTGATGGCTTGTTACCATACTGACAATAGCTTGCAACTGGTCTCTATCCATAGCCAGATGAAGCTAGTTCATACAATCACATCTTATTTCTTTTTAAAACCAATTTTAATATTATCCTCCTATGTGCAACCAGGTCTTCCCACTTTCCTCTTTCCAGCTCCTCACTATACACACTTCAACCCTACAGATATATGGTCCTCTGAAACATCAGTACCTGCCTACATGGCTAAATGGTGTCAGCCTAAAAGGCCACAATCTGGAGAGTTCGAGAAGTATAAGCTGTCTCTCACCATGGAACATTTTCTTACCTTCCTATACAGTGTTACTTAAAACACTGCAGCCAGCAGCATGACAGTAGAGAAATAGGCCCAAGTACCTTGTGCTTCAGGCTGCGGATATCCTTTTGCAGCTCCTTAACCTGAAGCTCCATTGCGGCTTTATCTCGCAGGGCCTGCTGCTTCTCACTGCATTCTGCCTCCCAGTCATCACGGTGGGCCTTCACCTGGAACTCCAGCACCTCCACATGTTCTCGGTGCTCCTGCTCCAGCCGTTCCAAACGTTTCTGCAGTTTTGATAGGTCCTCCTTCAGAAGGGCATTCTCAGCCTGCAAGTCTTCTATATTCTTGTGATCGTCTGGTGTTACCTGAAAATGCAGAATCATGGATATGAGAGAAAACGTTATATGAAATACAGCTCTTATGTTTCTGGACATTGTAATTGTCCTGTCTTTTTCTAAAAACACCGTCCTGTTTATTTTTCAAAACACAGTGTTTTAGAGACTGGATTCTGTCTCCGTTTTCAGGAAAAACCTACTCAGTTGGGCCCAACTGACAGAGCCAGTCCCTATCTCTGGACACTTGTGCCAGCACCAAGATGGCGTATATGAGCCAAACACAGCACAGCCATCTCTGAGAGCTAATAAAACATTAAATTATTAAAAACTCTACATGTATGAGGCCTTGCACAAGAGAATTATCATGACAGAAATCATCGCTGGAGAGAAGATAAACTTCTTATGGTACCAACACAAGAAAAACAAATTTTCCCACTCAATCTACACTTGATGGATCTGTAGTTCTTTAACTTCTGCTGTGATAATGGAAGTCCAGTGGGAGACATGTCCAAGCTGGGCTGACTGATCAGATGGTCCAGCAGAGACATGTCAAACCCTGTATCAGGTTATAATATTTGTGCTCCTTAATGCATACATTTCCTGGTAATGGATCTCAGCAATGGAGATTCTTTAGCTTCTATGCTCACGTATTTGCCCACTGGCTAATACTATTCGCAACTGCTCTAAGCTTGAAGTCAAAGTCAAAGTCACAATGCGACTGACGTCAGTAACTCTTGGTGTTAAGCCCCATCTGCGTCTCATCACCAGATATTTATTGTACTTCTAAAGGCTGACCTGTTTCGCCAATGTAACATCTTCCACAATCACGTGGGATGCGGAACACACACACTGCTTTGTCTGCTGGGCATCTCTAACTCCCACTCTGTGGGACCCTGAGGAAAACTGAACCAGCGTCACCTAACTTCCTACATGCTACACCCACCTGTACACGCCAAACTGAGATACGCGTCTCATTCCTTTCTGAAGCATCATTTATTCGCATTAAGCCAACCATAAAGATGATACTGACATCCAAGTGCACCAGCTTCACTGGCTAGCACATCGGCAATAATCCGGCGATGTGAAGGCATTACTGTATATTGTCGCGTATTGGGTGTATAACGCGACAAATAACTTCACGGTGTATTTGCTGTAGCGAATTTTATTTCACATTCGCACTTACAATCACACAATTGACAGTTTTAGAATTACTGCTATCTGCAGTATCACAAATACTACACTCCAAATGCCACAATACAACTGACTGGTTGCTGGCTAACTCGGAACTAACTCGGAGGTAGCTCCAGGACTAACTGTGAATAGCCTTCGCTGCTCCTCATGTAGCCTCGATCGGACAATACAGAAAACGGCCACGTAATAAGCACCCTTGTTGCCTGGCGCTGTGTTGCTAGTAACGCTAGCGGTAGTAACCGCTGTTACCACCGTCGTCTCTCGCAATCCTGTTTCCCCGCGCTGCCTAGCAACCGCGGTACCCTTGGTGACGTCATCGCTGTTGACTCGCTTTGCATAGCGACCAGGATGCTAGGACCGGGCTAACTTCGGCTCACTTCGGCTTCGCTCGGCGCATCACGGCTGGCGGGGGGGGGCGTCATCCATAGCTCAACATGTCACAATATATTACATAGGACATCCATTTTTCCTGATGAGGTCACTGGATTTTTCAAGTAACCTAATCCTTCTAGCTGCACTGTGGTCCACTGGGTTGACTCAGCCTCTTAACTGAAATGAGTGCCAGGAATCTTCTTGGGGATAAAGGGTGGCAGGATGGTGTGTACGGCTGACAACCTCACTGCCATCTGTGAGCCGACTGTCTAGAAAATGTGAGAGTCTTGACGTCTCAAAACCCTATGGGACTCCACTTACTGTTACAGGGATAGCTTTACCTTTAGGACATTCAAGTAATGTCTTTAATTGTCATGACATTATCAAAATTCCATGGGGATCTTACCTGATGTACCATTGGAAAGGCCCTGGACTCAACGATCTTGTTCATTTGTTCCTGTTGGTCCTGTATGGTGGACAACAAACGCTGCACGTACATCTGCCTGTCATTGTTGTACTTCTGCCACCGTTTGTTCACCTCTGTAACCTGTTATCAAAATTGATTATTTCTTATTAACCAACAAAGAGTAAGAGGGGGACATGAGGTTTTCACCACAGCAGTTCTGGGCAGTTCTGTCTTCTGGGCTATAATGCTGTAGTCTGTTGAAAGTCAACCAATGTTTCAGAGGAACGTGCTGTTTCCATCTTAAGGCCTGAAGAGTACGCCAAGCAAGAAACCAGCTTTGTTTATTGCCTGTTTCATGCTGGCTTCCACTTCAACTCTGAAGATGGAGGTGACATGTTCCTCTGGAACGGTGGATGAATTTCAATTAAATAAAATGGCATCAAATTCAAGAACACAGAACTCTTAAATCCAAAATAATTTAAATATTTTACATGAGGGTGTCAAATGAAAACCTTAAATTTGTAATAAAAAATCGAAATTTCGTGCCATTATCCTGTAAGTTGGTAAGCGTGCTACAAACAGCGTGCAGAATGGCCTGTAGGTCGCAGCATAGTGCAGATGCATGAACTCTGTCACAGCACCAGTATAAGATGGCTGCCCCACTTGAGACTTGCATCAGGGAAGAACAGCGTTCTGTTATTCGGTTTTTGTGTAGTGAAGGTGTGAAACCTATTGAAATTTATCGAAGAATAAAGTTTCAGTATGGTGATGCATGTTTGTCACAGCAGCAAGTGTACGAATGGAGTAGGAAGTTTGCAAATGGTGTGACTTCAGTGGAAGATGCTCCTCGTCGGGGTCAGGCACATCGAGTTGACTCCAGAGAACACTGCAGCAGTTGAAGCCATAGTGAGGGAAAACCGCCGAGTGACACTCAATGAAATTGCAGCAAGTTTAAACATTAGTCATGGTTCAGCACACCACATTGTGCACGATGTGCTCCAGTTTCACAAAGTGTCTGCAACATGGGTGCCACGGCAGCTGACTCCTGAATTGGAAGACTGACGTACTGATGCTTGTAAAGAACTTCTGTGGTGCTTTGAACGAGAAGGTGATGACTTCCTTGCAAGAATCGTTACTGGGGACGAAACCTGGGTTCACTTCCACCAACCGGAAACGAAGAGAGTGAGCAAGGAATGGCGCCATTCCTCATCTCCAAAACCGAAGAAGTTTCGAACATAACCATCAACAGGGAAGGTTATGCTGGCTCTCTTTTAGGACAAAAAAGGCGTCATCTTGGAGCACTACATGCCTAGAGGGACCACTGTCACCAGTGCATCATACTCAGATCTCCTAAAAAATCATCTTTGGCCTGCAATAAAATCAAAGCGATGTGGATTGCTGTCCACAGGTATCCTTTTGCAACATGACAATGCAAGGCTCCATACTGCCCATACACCAGTTGCGACAATCAATGACCTGCATTTTGAGTGTCTTCCTCATCTGGCATACTCACCAGACCTTGCCCCAAGTGATTTCCATATGTTTGGACCACTAAAAGAAGCAATGGGAGGAAAGACATTCAGTTCTGATGAAGAGGTACGCCACGCGGTGCATGAGTGGTTGCACTGACTACCAAAAGAATTTTTTTTCTGAAGGAATTCATGCACTTTGTAAGCGCTGGAGGACTTGCATTGAGTGTGGGGGAGATTATGTTGAAAAGTGATACAGCTTTGTACCACTTGTGCACAATAAATAATACTCAAAAGAATATTCAAGTTTTTCATCTGACTCGCCCACGTATATATATATTGACCGGCCCTTAACTGCATGAAGACATATTAAACTACTTATGAAGTGTGAATAAATATTATTATTTTGCAAAAAGAAATACATTTTCATGAACAGAACTGAGCATCATATTCAAGTGGCAAGCATGCCTAACTCATATTCACAATTGTGACTGATATCCTTTGTGGGTTTGCTTAGTCTGTCTAGGAAAATCCTAAACTATTACCTCAAGCTACGTCATGACAGCTTCCTCCCAAATCCTCTCAAATTCATTATTTACTACCAACCCATCATTCAATACTATATATAGCCCAAGGTACCAGCAGTGTCATTAAAGAAATCTATATAAATAAAAACGTAAATGTTGGTTTGTTAATCATCAAAGATCTCCGAAAATTCTTCACCGATTGCTTCGAAATTTTGACACAGCGTTGCATTCGAGCACGCGTGTGTTTTTATATATCCATTATATAGATGGCACACCTGTGACAGGTAAAAACAGGTAAAACATGTCACATGTTCCGAATCCAGCAGTCATTTCCATAGGATAAGAGGTTCCGTTGCGTAACAACGGATGAAACCGGAAAGTATACTTCCATGGAAATGCAATAACAGTGGGCCGTTGCATAGGAATTGCCGAAACAACAAAAGCGTTTCCCCGGAGATGAGAGGGTAGGAGGTTCCGCTGCATAACAACGGATGAAACCAAACACTTCTACAGGGTGTTCTGTTGTCCATCGAATACCAACAGATCGTTGCCTAGGAATAACCGCGCCAACGAGCACGTGATAATAATTGTACTCGCTGGTGTAAAAGTGAGTGTTCAATAACTTATTCGCTGAATCTGAGACGTACGTGGAAGTTATTTGTCGCACTGAATAGGAGACACATGACCACAACGTTACATAGGTAAGACGCAACATATTCTTATTCTCAAAGTACACGTAAATAATGCAACAATTTAAAAGACATCAAGAATATGTCACTCACTAAAAATGGATTTTAAGACTTGATGTTAATGTCATGTGTGACATATGTCACACCTGTGACAGGTTGGTTGGTTGGTTGGTTGGTTGTTAAAATATTAATTGTACTCAATATTAATATACTGTAACGTGTTATACGTCGTTCATTTCGTGAGTATAGTTTACTTTTCATTGTTTTTCATTTCGTTTTCTTAACTGTTCTCGTGGAGCGGAAGCAATTCACTTGATCTGCCACAGCAACGCGTGGCCGGGTACAGCTAGTCAAAAATAAAAATGAAGATTATAGCTTTACGGAATGTGACGCCATGAAGTCTGGTAGAATGGAACAAATGTTTCACAGGAACTTGTGGCCTTCATCCCCACTATTTCTCTGAAACACTACATGGCACTACATCCCTGATAACAGTAATCCTCATGCTCTCCACCATGAAAACCCCAAATCTCAAAAACAAATACATAAACACATGAGTTAATTTATCCATGAAACAACATTAACAAATTCTGGGCATATGATGTTGATAATTCTGAGAACTTGAGAAGTGAAGCCAATGAATAAGGCCCACAATTTTGAAATAAGTGTGAATGTTTCCTAAATAAAAATTTTCAGTGAAGAACAGCTTAATTGGTTAGGCCTATTTACTCATCTTTTCAATGTTAACATATGCACAGGGTTACATACATCTTACAAAATATACTGGAATATTGCTCATAACCATTGCTAACCAGTTCTGGTTAAGCTAATATTACAAAGGACCATGTACAGTATGCGTCAAAAATACAGTACTGAAATGAAAAGACGTCCTGTTGATACCACTGTCTATTCATGTGAAGGCCCCTTGCACGACAGAACCTTCTAAAATCTTCAATAAATGGTCCAATTACCATGTCCCTGTAGCATTCCTGGGTGACAGTAAGAGCATTGCCTTCCTCATCCTCAATGAAATAGGTGCCTAATATACAGTGTGCTGAGACGGCACATCATATCGTCACATGTGTATTATGTAGTGGTTTCTGGACAATAACATCTGGCTGCTCAAATCCAAGGAAGCGAGATGTCTGGTGACCACTTCCATATGAGTGGAAATAATGCTCAACTATGAATACTTCTTCCTCTGTTGAGAGACCCATTTCCAACAACAACTGCACAACACAACTTCCTCTTCACTACTGGGAACATGTGTGGCTGGAGCTATGCCGTCGACAAACACACATGTGCGTTCGAGAAGTGCGAGTTTCAGTACTGCATATTTTGGCACATACTGTACATTCATACTTCACACAACATACAAGGCTCCCTGGTTGTGAAGGCTCACACACTGGTTTTCTGGGTTGCAACATACAACTGAGCAAACTGGCTCAAACTGTAATGCAATGGGAGGTGCCCAGTTAAAATCTTGGTCAGAACACCAGCAACCCTAACTAATGGGGTTTCATGGTTTCCTCAGCCACTTCAGTCAAAGGCTGGAATGGTATCTCAAATTTGGCTGAGACTGTTTCATTCCACATCCTTTCCAAATCATTATTCACTAGCATCCAATCATTCAAAGCTATAGAGTTACTGACATGTATTTAAATGAACTTAGTGGTTGAGGAGCTATGCTACAAGCCGGAAGGTCGCGGGTTCAAGCCCCGATGAGGTCATTGGATTTTCTTCAGTTGACCTAATCCTTTCAGCCGCACTAGGCCCTGTGGTTTACTCAGCTTCTAACAGAAATGAGTACCAGGTATTAATTAAATAATTTTCCTGGGGAGTAAAGTGCGGCCGGTGCATAGCGCTGACAACCTTACCGCCATCTTTGAGCCGACTGTCTAGATAATGTGGGACCCTCAATGTCTCACAACCTGATGGGCCTTCACGGCCTGGTACAGGGATAGCTTTACTTTACTTCTTTTTACAATAGAAATACGTATATAATAAATGAATAAACAAAATTGCTAAAAGTGAACAGAAGGCAAAAGGCAAATAACAGAGAGGGGCTGGGTGCCTGCTGTAAATGGAACCAAGGTGCTTAGGCCACCTTAGAGATGGGGAAATAAGTAAATCCCATAGGTGGGTACTAATGTTTGGCAGGAACACAAGAGGTGGGCATTCACAGCTAGAACAACCTTAAAATATTTAACAATGTTACAAGTATAACATAATCAAACAGGCTCTCTGAGGCACGTGGTAGTGTAGTTGGTTGAGGCACTATGCTACAAGCCAGGAGGTAGCAGGTTTGATTCCTGATGAGGTCATCAGATTTTTCAATCCACTTAATCCTTCCAGCTGCACTATGGCCCTGGGGGTCGGCTCAATCTCTAACAGAAATGAGTGCAAGGAATCTTCCTGGGGGTAAAGGGCAGCTGGAGCGTAAGGCCAACAACCTTACCGCCATCTGTGAGCAGACTGCCTACAAAATGGGGAAGCCTTGACGTTTCACAACACTATAGGCCTCCACAGCCTGTTCCAGTGGATGGCTTTACCTTTTCTCCTTTACCTTAAATTTTGTATACTTATCTTCTGGGTACTTACATCAGTGATGACAGCCTGTAACTTGTAATTTTCTTCCTGAATAGCTCTGAAGTTCTTCTTTAGTTCATCAACTTCTGTCATTGGACAATCATCAGTATTCTGAAACATAGGCACGGAAAATTCAGAACAAGCCCCATATGTTTCGTTTAATAATGCTGTAATAGGCTCACAACTGAATAATGGATTGGAAAGGATGTGGATGGAGGCAAAAGTGCCCTAAACTGGTGGCACTACACCATCGTTTGTGAAGTTGGACTGAGAGAAAACGACAAATATTCCAGATCAAGGTATCTGCTGTTTTGGACATGATCTTAAGCTAAAACCTCAAGCACATGAAGACAAGCAACCGAACAGTGGACCGTGATGTTGTCTGGATTGTGACGTTGTTTTAAGAAGTCCAAACTAAGTGCTACACCCTTCCTACAGGTATTACATGACGATGCATTCTGAAAAGTGTTACATCATTCCATGTTACATGAATTTACTTTTAACATGATACGAGGAGAGAATGAAGTGATAATTTCTACAGCTCACTTAATGTAACTATGTTAATGTTAAGCATAATATATATTATACAAACTGTTGTTATATGTCATTTGAGGTTCTCACAGTAAGTTAAAAAACATTACTCAGGAATGTTATAACAAGCAGTGTCCATATTTTTACATCTGGCCATTATAAACAGAATGCTCATTTGATCTGGTTGGGTCCACTAGGATTGGTGTGTGTTTGGGTTACAACAGGGTGTTAATTACAGTGTGTCACCATCACTCCCAAAATGCACCTGCAACCACTGCCTCATTAGTGCATCCAGGTCTTAGAACATGAATTGTAATTTGGTGAGCAAGTATACCAAAGTTATGATGGAGGTAACGAGTTCCTCAAAACAGTCATTACCTATTTACTGAACTGAATGGTGTAACATCTCACAAGTCAGTGATCTTTTTAAATTGCTTGTATTATAAACATCAGTAAATAAGTGTATCAGGGCATGTGGTAGCGTAGTCGGTTGAAGTGCTATGCTACAAGGCGAAAGGTCGCGGGTTCGAGTCCAAATGAAATGGATTTTTCAATTTACCTAATCCTTCTAGCTGCACTATGACCCTGGGGTTGACTCAGCCTCTGAAAGAAATGAGTACCAGGAATCTTACGGGAGGGTAATGCTGAAGTTACCGCCATCTGTGAGCCGAATGTCTACAGAAAACGTGGGAGTCTCGACGTCTAACAACCCTATGGGCCTTCACGGCCTGTTACAGGGATAGTTTTAACCTTTTTTTTACCTTTTCATTTGCGTATCTATGTGAAAACATGGACAACGAACTCACAGGTTTGTATGTATATATGTATGGGGCACTTGTATAGGGATTCAGCTCAATTTTCATTGGGATATTAAAGGGAAAGAAAGAAAGAAAAAAAAAACCGCCCCATTTCTACCTTGAATGAACGAATGAATGTATAAGAGGTGGACCCTCTCGGCCCTTGCACCACGACCTACAGTGGTCTATTGTGCTCCCCTTTGATGTACGTGGGGGCGTCGAAATAGTCACTTGGTTCCATAAAGTACTGATCCATGCTACGTAATCTTAAATACGCTAAGGCTTCACATTCACACATGATATGTGTGGCTATTTCATTTTCTTCTTGATACCTCTCACAAGTGGGACTATCACTTAGTCCTAGTTTGAAGAGGTGTCCTTCAATGTGACAAGTGTCCTGTAAGTAGTCCCGCCACCCACCGTAGCTGGTTCCTGTTGAGCTTCAACAGTTCCTTCGCTCTTTTAGCTGAGGGTCCTCGTATGAGTTCCTTTGCTTGCCTTAGTCCAGTCAAGGATCCCCAGTTTCATTTCTACCTTTTCTTGGCTCTTTGAAACTGAAGCCCTCATACAAATTCTCGTATCACATTGGCCAAACCTGCCTGTAAGTGTATCTGGCGGCATGCAACTAACTACAGAACCGCTGGATGGATTCTAATGAAATCCGATACTGGAGAGTTTCAATAAATTTTGTCAATATATTCCAATTCTTGTCCGAATCGGACACCGATAACAGACGCCTTACATCAAGATCTACATGCGCGCGGAATTTATACGGGGAAAAACGTGTTGAATAAAAGTTATGAAAAGGGCCGTGACAGCGCAGTCGGTAAAGCAACTGGCTAATGGCTGGACAGCAGAGGAGTACACCTTCTTGTCCAGGTAGGGGCAAGGTTTTTCTCCTCTCCACGTCGTTCAGACCGGTACTGGGGTCCCATTCAGACTCCTATCTAATTGATACGGGAGGTTCTTTCTCCGAAGGTAAAGCTGACCACTCACCTCAAACTAGTGCCAAGTTCAAGAATACATGGATCTATACATCCACTCCCCTATATGTCTCCATGGCGTAGTGCTAAATCAGTCAAGCAGTGGGACTACTTTACCGTTACAACACTTAAGAAACATGAAACATATATTTTACGTCCAAATACATATTTATTTTTCTGTCGGTATTACGGTTGTTGAGGCAACTAAACAGAAAACACATTCCTGCTGTGTCCTCTTGTACTACTGAGTGTTGAGAACATGATGCTGAAGTGAATATTTAGACTTACAGGAGGCTGGAGAAAACTGCATAATAAGGAGCTTCAACATTTATACTGATCACCTATTATTATTACATGGGAGGATACTATTAAAGTGGACCGCAAAGCAATACGATACAATGGTGTGGACTGGATTGATGTGGCTCAGGATATGGATCAGTGGAGAGCTCTTGTGACCATGGTAACGAATCTTCGGGTTCAATAAGATTCTGGGTATGCTGGAGTGGCTGAGCAACTGTTGGCTTCTCAATAACGGCTCTCCTCCATGAAGTTATTTCGCTTAGTGGAGTCCAACTGGGTCCACTCGGCACGGCGGCCACTGATTGGCCTATTGTAGCTTGCCCCGGGTGATTATGATGATGGAGCAATTGGTGGAATGAAGATTGGCAGGGGAAACCGAAGTACTCGGAGAAAACCTGCAGCAGTGCCACTTTGTCCACCACAAATCCCACTTGACCAGACCCGGGCCGCCGCGGTGGGAAGCCAGCGACTAACTGCCTGAGCTATGGCGCGGCCTCTCTATGGAGTTAGTTAGCTCGATCCAATTTCTTGACTTATCTCGAAAACTGTAAAACTTACAGCAAATAGTTGAGCTCCATTTTTATCTACAAGTACTGTTCGGCACAGTTTTGGTTCTGATAAATGTTTAACATGCTACACGCGCCTTACACCTGAGTTAAGCACGTGAATCTTCACATAAAGCGCGTATTGTTGTTGCCCGATGTTAAAAACTTGAACGCGTAAAAATACATTTTCACTTCCTTCCTTCTCGTCAAATTTCATAAAAATCTTATTACGTGGAGAAAGACATACGCGGGCATGTCATAAGTGAGGAGGCAGTTTTGAAAACAATTCGTTTCGAACGCGCCTAAGACATTTTCAACACACATGAAAGCATTCTCATTTTAAACCTATCTTCAAGTTCATGAGGAAAACTGATTTACAATTGATGTGTATTTACGAGCAGGCAGAATATAATATCGACCTTGCGTAAGGATGCAGTGATTGGTTCATTGCAACGAGGAAAACTGCGCGGACCAATCCGTAATAGTGACAACCTGTGACGCAAGGCTAGTGGCACGGGGATTCACTTCCTTAAGACGTTATCCATTCTGATAGACGGGGTTCTTATCTCCGACGACAGTTCTCGTCGTGCTATGGCACTATGGATCATATGCAGACTTGCGGGAAGTCACAGGAAACACCGAAAAACCTCGCATTTGCCAATATAATGCATATACTGTTCCGTATGATTGAGGCCAAACGGCATTACCGAACTGCTATTTGTAAAGGATATGGTGTTTCCTGCCAGGCGACAAACCTGATTTCAGGAGAGCTTAATCGGTACAGCGACGGGCTGGAGGCCGGAATTCGATTCCTGGCAGAGATAAGAGATTTCTTCTATTCCACGGCGTCCGGGTCCGATTTGGGGTTCACCCAGCCTCTTATCCAATGGACACCGTGACTATTTCCCAGGAGGTAAAGCGGCCAGGGCATGAAGCTGTTGGTGGAGCTATACCTGCATTCCCCCACATGTCTTCATGGTGTGGTGCTTAATTAAGCATGGGGACATTACCTTTTATTCACTGGTTCTACAGCCCCCCTGGGGCCCTGGCCTTTGATTTTTCAGTTTCATGATCATTTTACAGACGGTAGGACTCCTTGGGCGAGTGATCAGCCCGTCTCAAGGCCTCTACCTAAACACAGGACAACATAAACACAGAATAAACACATACCAAACATCCATGCCTTGTGTGGGATTCGAACCTACGTTCCCGGCTCATTATCTTTACCATACCGGTATTACTAATGTGACACCCGCTGAGATGCCCTGACAATCTTTTACCACAAGCTTTCGTATTATTCACTTCCCATGCTTTCTCCCGTATTCCTGTCCAGTATTACATGTTATCGAACAATACGTCGAGGCCGAACGTTTTAATTTTATCTCCCACGAATAATGCGTATAAATGATCAACTGTAAACCGTCTCCTTTATATAGCATACTACATAAATTCGCAAAGAATTGTCACGATGCAAACATATGACTGGACGCTAGTTCGTGGCCTACTACTACAAAACGTACGTTCATGCGAACGTGTTAACGCTATAGTTTGTTGCTATGGTAACCAGAAGCTGCGTTAATTTCAGAACTTTCATCTCACCACTATGTTACTTTATAGCGCACATACTGGTTCAGGGATCACTTGATTTCCCCTTCTGTGGGGAACACTCTACTTAACGTCTCCGCTGAATACAATAACAATAAAACGCGGCTACAAATAACGATGGCCCTCGTTACGTAATTTTCTTCAATAGCCTCTACACTGACCTCTCAGTAAGTCCCAAACATCTTCGCTCTTTCCTCAGAATGTTAGACCAAGTTTAGCACTCAGTTGTTCCTGAAGTAGATGTGCCTCAAATAAACTTTGCATGGATTTATCCACTTCATTCTGCCCTTAATTTAATCACAAATAATTTCTGACGGCCATATAACGAAAACATCCGCTTATAACAATTC